TTAACCGCAGGCCCTTTTACATTTGATATTAAGAAATATGTTAGATTTTAAAACTACACTAGGCCTCCGAAAACCCTCATCAGTGATCGTTACGCCATTGGTCCACTGGGTTTGTGTATTCTTTTAAAAATGTACTAATTTACTTCCTGAAAACTAAGGCGCTAATTGTGATCTCAGTATATTCCACATTAAGGCCATATTAAGGTCAATCAAAAGAGTGCTTGCAATAGGCAAGAACTTTATGTACATGTTTAAAGATCGTAGTGGTCTGCGTACACTGAAACCCCTCTCTATAGCATTGTTTTCGAACAGGCATAACTTGCATGACTCACAACAACGTTTTAATGATGTCTTGCTACATGTATATTGCAGATGTGGTCAATGGGCCGCAACATCAAAGTTAGTGTATCCATATTTCTTTATAGCAATTGTTATTATAACCCCATGTGGACTACCTACATGTACATGATTGTAATACTAATTAATGACTCATTTCCAACAAAATATATATTATTACCATAGCAATTACAAATTATTAAATTCAATAAACACCAGTATTTAAATATATTCTTCTTCATGACGATTTGACATTTTTATGTACCCCAATTTCAAGTTATTAAATTCAATACACACCAGTATTTAAATGCATATACACGTATTCTTCACGACCATTTGACCCCATTTTATGTACCCCAAATTTACGCTCCCTATTCATGTCACATTTGGTAATATTTCACTGTTGCAATATCCTAAGCATAGTCAAGAAAAAAACCCTCTCACCCCCAAAATACCCCCTTCACAATCGTATGCAATATCCCCATCCCCTTCTTTTATACTTGCCCCATCACCTCCCTTCCACCACTTTTTATGTAAATACTCAAATGTAAATCTACTAGTCATATTTGTACAAATTATATATATATATAATATTATTATTATTCATGTTGTACCATTACCATACATAATAATTCATTAATATTCATAATATCTCATTAATATTCATAATACTTGTTGAATATACATTAACTAATAAATGTACGCCTTAATATCCCAATGATTGGTATTTTGTTTCTTGTTGATAGTTGTAGTATGTGTACTTGAATGATACTTATATGTACTTGAATGCGATTCATCTGTACTTGTTTGATAATTGTTAGCACTTGTATGATACTTGGAAGTACATGTACATGTAGGGACTCAGTAATTGAGTAAGACTTTTGGTGAGACGTGTGTACTTACCTACAGTACAAGTTGTTTGTACTTGAATTAGACATATCTGTACTGTACTTAAAAACATGTTTTTAGGCAATTGAGAACTACCAGTACTTGAGTAAGACTTGTATAGTTTAGCTTGTATAGTTCTTCTCGATTAAGTACCAGAGATTATGATGTACCCAGTTGAAACTTTTTGGGGATGCTAACATGTGTTAGTACTTGATGGTACATGTATTATTTACTTGGATGCAATATTTATTTACTAATAAGAATGAGACGCATTGCCACTTTTATAATACACATACTTGCATTGCAACATAAGTATGATGTCGTTCACTGATACATAGTCATTTAATGCTGGTGAGAATTATTGGCACTGATACTAAATAGATACAATATAGTTTGTTAATGATACTCATTGGTACTGAAATGAGACCTGATAATAAATACTCCACTGTACTGACACTTATTCATACTCACTGGAATTTGAGAATTAACTGTTTCAGTAATCACAAACTATACTTGTGTATTGTCAGTTTATCAAAATTTTACTGTTTAATATTTCATACTGTGTAATATTAAATATATCACATGGACTACTGTGTAACATAAATATATCACAATGTCTGCTGTGTAATATTAAATTAATCACACTGTATGCTGTGTAATATTAAACATATCACACTGTCTGTTGTGAAATATTGAATATATCACACTTGACTAATGTGTAATATTAAATAAATCACACTGTCTCCTGTGATATGTGGTGTAATATTACACTGTAATATTAAACATACCACACTGTCTAATGTGTAATATTAAATATATCACACTGTCTATTGTGTAATGTTAAATATGTCATGCCTATAATACTTGTTTATACTATTAATATATCATACCATAATTCACCATGCACTTTATATACATATTATATATATACAGAAAATAAAATCTATACAATATAAACTTGGTTGATCTGGTTTTTTTAGGGAGTTAGAGATTTAAATAACTACATTGACTGGAAACTTGACCAATCTGCTCATGTTGATAGAAAAGTATTTAGCACGTACATCACATGCAAAACATAGATTTCGCGTGCTATGATTTCCTATATTACCGTGAAACGGCATTATTTATAGTGCGCTTAATAATCCATCCATATACGCATGCCCAAAGCGCTATGATTCTCTCGTTAGTAAAAAAACATAAAGCAGTCTGTTTCTAATTTGGATAATAGAGTTGAAACAAAATGAGTTTTCAGTTGTAGATTGTGAAAATTTGAGATTCTCTAATGCTGTCCTTGTAAAGCTGTCTTCATTTTTCGGGCAATGTATTTCCGTTATTCGGGCACAAACATCAGAGAATGAGACCATATAACATAAAAATATAATTTTATAATTGTAAAATGAAATCGCTTACGGTTTACGTTTTGAATTCTATAATATAACATTTGTGGAAAACTCTTTCTAGTTAATGATTGATTCATTCTGAAAATTCGGGTGACGAAGACAATTTTCGGGCAAAGACCCCCTTCATCCTTTCTGACGGGTTAAATATCCTGGAGAAACGGTGGAACAAATGTATTGATGCCAAGCGGGATTATGTTTTTAAAGAAGTATAATAACAATTCTCACACAATTCCCATGAAGTAGAACTTGACTGCATCCCAGTTTTTGCCATCCCCGAAATTACATATATTAAACACGGCAGCGAACTGATTTAATCAACCCATATACATGTCTAATCTCAATTCTCCGTTCGTAATTAATTATCCCCTGCCTTTTGAAGTGATTGTCTTGAATGAATTCGATGATAATTTTCTGTCCGTTTATCCCACATGTTGGAATACGATAACCCTACTTCTTCTAATTTGGGTAGAATTTTAAAACACATAGTAGGTAAATGTCTTAGCTGAGTTCGATGATGAGCAATATCTGGTCTGCCATTGCTTCGGAACACAATAATTTTGATTCTACATGCGGTTGCCTGAAAATAATAGATCAATTGGGTTGAAACAAACTTTTGCCACCAACAAGTACAATCATTGAATGAATCATAGACATAAGAACTGCAATTGTAGTGATATTATTGTCTTCGTACCAGACCATCTTGTGAACTTACCCATTGAAATCACCAGAAATGCAGTCAAACAGACTATTGGGCAGTCATCAAGATACTGCAACTGAAAGGGACTAACCCCAACACAGATACGTGCCGACATGGTCTCCACTTATGAGGATGATGCTACTTCTTTCCCCACAGTAAAGAAGTGGGTTGTGGAATTTAAGCGTGGCAGAGAGAGACTTGATGATGACCTGCGTCCTGGAAGGCCATCAACAGCAGCCATTCAGGAAAATATTACCCGGATGCATGACATGGCGATGGCTGATCGACGACGATTGACCACTCGACATATTACCAGTGCTGTAGGCATCTCTCATGCGAGGGTTGGTATATCATTGCCAACGAGTTAGGAATGACAAAAGTTTCTGCGGATCAGAGGCCGAGGCGTGTCAGATTCCTGACGTCCCGTGACAATCTGCGCCGTTTTGAAGCAGATCCTGATAAATATTTGGTCAGATTTGTAACCATGGATGAGACCTGTTTCCAAAAATGAAAAAGGAACTAGCTGGTCGTGAACGACTGTTTTTTTAGTATGGCTGAGGAAAATTTCTTCCTAACCGGCATCCAGGCGAAAGTGTGTACACTTGGAGAGGTCTATGTAGAAAATAAATGGAAACCATCGACTTTGTACAGGTCTTTCACAGATTGACTTAGAACTTTATTAATACAACTTTGTAATATAACTTGATTTATAGTTACTTTACATCAATACCTTTTTTATAAAAACATCATCGTGATGGGTATATAAATGTAAAAGAGTATGTGCAACAACCTAATATAATCTTTAAGTGGCATTTAGCGATTGAGCACAAAACAACAACACAATTTATATGGGAGAGAGAGAGAGAGAGAGAGAGAGAGATGAGGTTAAATTAACGTTCACCGGATACAAACTAGGTTATTTCAGGACGAAAGTTATTATGACCTCTTTCATCATAAATTTGAGATTGTTTTTCTGGTTTTTTTTTAATCTATTCTGAATAACAGGTTTGAGTGGTTTTTTAGATCTCTAACTGCAAATTTTACAAATGGCCGCCTGTCTACAACATTATGTAAGTGTGTGTGTGTGTGTGGGGGGGGGGGGGTAGCATGTGCGCGCTGTGTCATAAGGTCTGTCATTGAATCAACTGTCGTGGTTTCGAATCCCCGGTTGTACGTGACCCCTAAGCGCAAGCGAATTATTGAAATAGGACTGAAACACGTGTTAGTCACTACATGACCTAGTTTGTGTCGAGTGGACGTTAAACCCCATTTCTCTCCCTCTGTCACACAACATTATGTAGAACAAAAATAAATTTCTATAGATTTTCACAGAATATCATATAAATGAAATGAAATGGAGTTTAACGTCCTACTTTTCTGCACCGACTAAGCTAATGAAGATGGGGATGCGCCATACAGTGTTCTAGGCGCTAGGGCCTACTCTTAATTTGGAGTCCAAAAACTGACACGGAGAAATCGCGCCTGGATATTCCGAGAATTTTATCGGACAACCGAATAATATAGAAAACTGTAGGATTGGACTGGAGAATACAATCACTTGAAAATTATAGTATTTTACACCAATTCTGTACGAATTTATACATTTTCTATGGAAACGTTTTTTTTTTTTTTTCATAAGGTTTAACCGATCATACAAATGACTTTATATTATATTATAGCACTGATATGTTATTACTACCAAATGAATGGAATGATCACGCTGTCAGGCGAGCTGTACATATTCTGTTAAAAGAAATGAATCAACTTACATTGGGCAAATTATCTCCCCTTTGCCAGGTAATTTTTGTTAATTTTTGAATTGTTGATTTGTCATCAAAATGAAGCAATCGGATTGGGATTGCATCTAATATCTTTAATCGAAGATTAAACATATATTAATCATGATTTCAAAATTATAGTTTATGTATCTACATGATTTCAGGGGTTGTGAAGGGGGCAGGACCCAACTACTTGATATCTATCCACGCATGCGCATTTCAAAATGACCAGAGTTGAAACTGACTTGAAATGCTTTTGCTTACAGAACCTTGTTATGTACCGCACCAACCCTCTCTAGATCCTCACTAGATCCCGGCTGAATGGGTGTCCGAATGGATCAAGTGATATGGTTTTGATTCCCCGGAATAGGGTCGTATATCCAACCCCGTGGGTTTTCCACGGAACCCCTAGGGCTAAACACCGCCACGCGCAAGTAAAATATTAAAATGAAACTGAACCATATGTTAGTCTCGGTATGACATAGTTGGTGTCGACTGGACGTTAAGTATTTGGGGACCAATCCCCTGACCTTTCATTTGTATATTTATCATATTATTGTATATTACAGTCAATGATATTAAATATTATATTGCATACTACAGTTAGTGGTGTCTAATATCATATTGTATATTGCAGTTGATGATATTTTTAAATATTAAAGTATTATATTGCATTTACAGTCAGTGATATCTAATATAACATTGTATATTATAGTTGATGGTATCTCATATTAATATTTATATTGTATAGTATTAGTACAGTGATGATATCTCATATTAATATTTATATGTATATTACAGTCGATGATATCTAATACTATATTGTATATTACAGTCAGTGGTATCTGATACTATATTGTATATTACAGTCAGTGGTATCTGATATTATATTACATGTATTTATTACAGTCAATGATATCTAATATTATATTGTATATTTCAGTCAATGATATCTAATATCATCAACAATAAATATCACAATAAACTAAGTCAGGAAAAATGTCGAGAGTTCGGTGAATGGTATCTAAATTACAAGAAACAGTCTAATGGTAAGTAGAAGTCGTATAAGTCAACGGGTCAAGAACAGATAGACGATGGAAAGACAGTGTTCCACTTCTCCATTGAGAGAATAAATTTTGCTTGTGTTGTTATGAAATAAGGGCAGGTCTGTATTTTTCAAACGGTGGTATCGCGGCCACCAAGTCATTTTAAAATGGCATTCTACCCCCCCCCCCCCCCACACACAGAGACTTAAATAATCCATTAAATAAAAGGGTTGGGGATAGGGTTATACGACCTCTAGTGCATGACGGCGCACCTGGCAAGGAAAGGTGTCTAGTCGTTCGGGTGGCACAATAAGGCAAGAGGATACATGTATACAATTGACAGAACTGTAAAGATCAAATTTTAATGAGAGTCGGGTAAAGTCCCCCAAACACCAGACTGCATGGTTTATGTCGGTCTTTATAAGCACGCTTGGTACAAAAAATAAGATGTTTAACCGCATTTCATTTATACATTTTTAAGAACCCTAGATGATCACCCTACGTCACTTCCTGTGTACATTTTAGTTATTGAAAGCATCTATGTCCTCTTTTTCTTGTCAGAATTTACTGAACTGGATAAAGCACCAAAAGATTCCCGATTGACCTTCCATCCCGTGTATGAAATTCCGCTGCTTAGAAACTGGTTTAAGACAAACAGGAAGCCGTCTGAAGAAAAACTTAAATCTTTTTGCGTGCAGCTAAATAGCGGCCACGTGAGACACGAACGCCCGGCGGTGACGACGACAAGGCTGAAAGTTTGGTGGAAAAATGAACGACAAAAAGAACAAAGAATATTAAAAGAAAGGGAAGAAATATCCGAACCTGTTCAGAAAAAATCAAAAAGACATCGCACGACACGTTCGTGTACGAAAGGATCTGTAACAAAAGAGGTGTACGAATCTAATAGCGCTCCACTGAATTCAGAAATACCTCCAGCAATGACCCTTAGTGACGTTATGGGTGTTAAGGATGACGTCAATAACGATGTGTTTATATCACCATCGGAAGCTGATCCGAAACTAAGTACGTGTAATATCGACTCCTGCGTTTCACAAAATATTTTACATTCTGCTTGTGATGATTCGAGTGTTGTTTCTAGCCTCGCTGACACAACAAATGAATATTCAAAACAGAATATTTTGCATAATGATGACAATCTTGCGAATTTAGAAATGGCACCTAGACCGAGTGATTTTTTCACAAGTGGATGTGAACACCACCATGCTCCGTGAAAGTCTCTGAATACAATCATGTAATAGCAAATCAACACATAATCTGTCAATGACCTAAAAATAAATTAATATGAACACGACCATGCTCTGTGACATCTCCGAATAACAGGAAATCAACGCACAATCTGTCAATTAATATGGATAAAGTGAAAACAAAATTTTCTAGTAATAATGTGAACCTATATCTATACAAACATAGTCTAAATTTATATGGATAATGTGAAAATGGATTTATATGAATAATATGAAAATAAATTTATATGGATAATGTGAATCTAAATTCGCATTTATAATATGTAAAGATCTTATTATGAACAATATGAAAATGAATTTATATACGATGTATGCACAATATGGATATTTTCTTAAATATGAATAAAAACAAATATCGGTTGATTTAAAATGAACGTATATGAGTAATATGGATTCACGTTGGTATGAATTAGATGGATCTGAATTTGTTTTGTGACCTTGCCTTTGCCAAAAACTAATAAAAGCAATTCAACCTATGTTCAAGTCCGTAGCTATATATAGCCCCAAAATCTTGGGGGACTAGGTTGCTCTCCCCCCAGAAAATTTTGGAAACTAGGGTTTGCACTAGGAGAGGTACTATGAAAATGACGGAAAATTTCAATTTTGAGACTGAAATTGCGATATTGGCGTATTTTGATATATGAACATTATAAAAATATGAAGGAAGGAATACTTTAGCGTACCTATAATAATTTATGAGAAAAACGAAAAGTTCGCAATCGGGTTATCCTGAGTGCGACTTGTTTGGATTTTGAAGATTATTACGCCTGGCGCGGGCTTGAATCAATCTCATCCCCATTGTGAATTTAAACTGGAAAATTTCCTATTGTCTCCAGTTGACTTTCTTATGGTAGATTTCTTCGGGCGTCGGTATGCGGTCGGTTTCTTGGTTGGACGCCCATCATCTCGTCGTGGGCGGCTCACCATTATTGGGATTAGGCACGCCAGCAATCACGCCGTTTTGGACGCCCCATCAATCAAGTTAATCGTGTGATTATCTTCTGTAACATCATTCCGGCAATGATAAGGATCCTCTCAAGGCGGCAACGACCTCTTACTCTTGGAGGGTTTGGTAATGTTAAGTGGGCGCAGCCACAAAGATCTTACTGCTGGCGAGGACAGCTTTAACACTGAATCCGAGCGATCTGCCCTCGAAGATAACCGGATACGCATGACAGAGATCTTGTTCCTTTCACAGTTGCTTATTTCACTATCGGTAAAACTGAGGACCATGTAAAAGACCAGTCATCTCCAACTTATCCAACACCATGGGAAAGTTGATACATCCTCGAACCGCTCCAACCTTCTTGTGTAACAGCACTGGTACATAACTCCAATCGGCATGAGACAAAAACAACTGGACTGGTAGAATCAACCTTACCCCAGACGGGTCCCTTCGAACAAGAAGAACTCGGTAGTCATGAATTTACTCTTCTCTCTTCTTTATCCGGATATATCAAATAACAATGAATCGGCACTTGTAGGACCTTCAGAAATCTCTGAAAGCTATAGTATAACCTACTGTCTGAACCGTCGTAAATTTTGAACGGATTTCTTCGATTATGAACAACGACTTAACTTTGGTTATTATAAACTTACCTGTGTGTTTCAAATCAACTCCCGTAAAATAAAATTCATTGCACAATTAAATATTCCAACGAATAAAAAAGTTCTGTCTTGAACAATTTGCCTATTACTTGTAAGACAACATGCCTTACGTCACGTGTTGGGCGAAACCAAAGCCCTATATACTATGGAAGACCAAATGGGACAATATTCATGATTCTTGTTTCTACATTCCAGTTTGAACATTTTAGACACGAACGCAACATTCTAAACTAATGATTCTTGTTTCTACATTCTTATGTCAACATTTCATGCACAAAATAAATATTTTAAACAAAAAAATGACTTTATGTTTCATTTTCGGCGTTTTATCGGTAACTTTTATATATCATTAAATATTGAAATTAAAAAATAATTTCTTAATTTTACACGACAAAGAAATCAATTCATTGGTTTCTGAAAGTATCTAAAAAAAAATCTGGAATTTGAACTCTTATGAAAATATTTTCTACGTTTCAAAATGTCTTGAAGTTAAAATCTTGAAATGAAAATGTCCAGAAAAATATAATGAATTATCAACATTATTACACCAGAGGGCGTTAGCGTATGTATACAACTTTGATACAGAATATAGATTAGAAAATAAAGACGTAAAAAATACAGTCGTCGGAACGGAAACAAATAACCCACTTGTGAGTATTGGAACCTGGATAACTCTTTAATTCAAACGGACTATAATGCATATGACAAAATTCCTTTAAAGGGTCAATCCCGATAATATTTTGGAGAATAAAACTTCTTAATTTTGTGTTAAAATCCCTTAAAATCCTCTACCTTAGGGCCGGGCAACTAACTCAATATCTGTGATATATTTTCAAACAACTTAAACCTGTCAGTCTTTATCTGAAAATGGAGCCTGGTGTCCAAAGCCGTATTATGTGGTGTCTGGATAACACCAGGCTTTAACTTTATAAAACTTATGTGTAGGTGAAATTTACCTTTCGTTATCAAGTACAGCACATGGGCCATTCATTGTATAGACCTCTAAAGGAACGGGAATCAATTATCAGGTCATCCAACAAAAAAATTGACCCGAAATCGCAAAAGGGTTACGTGTCCGGATAAGCAGTTTTGACGTTCACGCCCAAACGACTTAATATTTTGAGCTGAAACTTTGAGACAAGGTAATTACACCATTCCTCTATATTTTGGCGTGGAAATATCATATGTACTCCGCCTTTTATTTTTGAGACTCTGTTCAATTCGGAATAGTCCCTTTAATCCATTGACATGATCATTTTTCTAAATTATTTTCTAATTCTAAAACTAAATTAAATGACGGTAAAATTAATTTAAAAAGTCATTCTGAACGTCTGAATGCTAATTAAAGTATCTCTTCTTCGGAACTCTCTATAGCATTAAATCATTGAAGACAAAAAGTTTCCTGGCCCAAACGTTTAAATTTTTAAAAGTTTAAATGAAATTTCGAATTGCGTACATGAGTAATAATGATTTATACAATATCCAAACCTCTTAATTTGATTCTTGGCGCTGGGGTTATTCTCGAGTCATGGTTAGTCTTTTCCTATAATATATCCTTGTTTCCGGAACATATCTCATACACCGTCCAAGATATCTTTTTGAAACTGTGTATACACATCAACCCATTACAGTAGTTGTACCTTTTGGTATTTAGTAATTTCTGTGATTTATATTTTTTGTGTTTCCACGAAAACAAATTTGGCGTAAAATTTTGTTTCCGGAGCATATTTAATAAACCATTCAAGATATCTTCATGAAACTTTATACAAACATTAGTCTATTTAGGAATTTCTGGGATTTATATTTTTTGTGTTTCCATAAAAACAAATTGTTTTGTTTTCAGAGCATATCTTATAAACCATTCAATATATCTTTACGAAACTGTATACAAACATCAAACATTCTGCTAATTTGGTATTTCTCAGATTTAATCATTTTTGTGGATCCATGGAAAAATATTTGACTTAATTTTTATGTACGATTTTGTCTCCGGAGCATTTCTCATAAACGGTTCAAAATATCTTTTTGAAATTTTGCACACACATCATCCTATTACAGTAGTTGTGTCTTTTGCTAGTTAGAAATTTGTCGGAATTAATCATTTTTGTGTTTCCATGGAAACAAAATTCTCTGTTGAATAATCTTTGAATTTTTGCTACACATTTTAATTAATTTTTGGTATATAATTATTATTCTTGAGTATATCTCAGAAACTGTTCAAGATACCTTTATAACACGTTTACATTCATCAACCTATTATTTTATTTTCTGATGACCGTCCTTCTCTCCCGATTTCATTTCCGGAGCATATTTCATTATGCGTCCAAGAAATCTTTTTGAAACTTTGTACAGGCATCAAACTATTGTAGTATTTTATGCCATCTTTTCTCCCTATCTACACATCAACTGTGTTTTGTTTTTAATTAAATACTATTAGTTAATTGTCGTTTTTGTAATGGGTGTATTGATACAAAACTATATATACTTTACTATGCTATTCATGTATATTTGTAGCCACATTATTCTATTAAATGGGGGTTGGATGGCTGAATGGTTAGCGTGCGCGCGCTGTATCATAAAGTCTGTCATTGAGTCGACTGGCGTGGTTTCGAATCCCCGGTTGTACGTGGCAAGGAGTAGGGTCGCCTGTCCTACCTCGTGGGTTTTCTCCGGGTCCTCCGGTTTCCTCCCACTGCTAAAGACCCCTACGCGCAAGCGAATTATGTAAATAAAATTAAACCATATGTTAGTCCAGAAATGACCTAGTTTGTGTCGAGTGGACGTTAAACCCCATTTCTCTCTCTCTCTCTCTATTCTATTAAATAGTTGTTTTTTACATGTTATGTTGTTTTCCTTCTCTTTTATTACACCAAATCTGTTTTTTTTTATTGAATAGTATTGTTATTTTTATATGCTGCAATAAAACCTTATCTTATCATATATGTCAGAATAGTGTGTGTGTATTTTATTCCACAACCATCGCCACTTTGTCGGAAAGTCTATTTGGCTCTGTTGTAATATCGTTGCATAACTTTTTTATTACAAAAATGGTAAACAGTCTACCAAATCATGATTTTGTTTGAAAATGTATATTAAATATCCGGGGATCCCGTGTTCATTCCTCTATGCTGGGGATTACATTCGGGTTAGCTGAAGCATGCAAGAGGTCGCCTTTGGTTTCCGGGTCCACTTGGTCACGTGTTGAATCAAACAGTTGTATATGAAACCACCACGGGCGATGATGGGCTTGATTTAGGAATATAAAATTTATTCGGGATTACAGATATGAGGAAGGTAAGAATGTGTTTATTTTTTAATTATCCATCACAAACCAGAAACAGTCTAATCTATCATCAATCATCATAATGAAAAATCAGAGATTTTTATTATTTCTTTTTTTTTCAAACTGCAAAAGGAACGAACTATTTTAATGACAGAAACTATTCGGTTTTATAAGAGGAAATGGCTTACGCTGTTGACCGGTCAACATTGGTAAACATCTAACAAACTTGTACAATAATGTTGTAATTATAATTTACTGAAACGCAATAAGGACGCGCCGATAAATTTTTATCTTGCGATTCTGAATGTAATAACAAAAGGATTACACGTGAGAATGTTGTTTTCTCGATGGCGTAAACCACACTATACATGTAGATCAATTCTCGAAAAGACAAACAAACCCATTTAATTCGACAGGATCCATGTTCCAAAACACCATTTTATGCTGCATACACGGGGTATAAAATGTGGCTTTTAAAAGGCTGGTACCAGTACAAACAGGGCCAGATTAAGGGGATGGGGTGCAAAAACGGCTGCAACTAGAGGCCACCAATATTATAGGGGTACCAAAATTACATGTACATAACCCTTTATATGAACCAGATGGCATAAGCCTGTTCACTGTTGATGCAAGGGCACCAGAGTCATTTTCAGCCATTTCAGCCAGGGACCCCATTCAAACTTAATATGGCTCCGAATACAACTCCTGCAGTTCTGTACTGGAAGACGCAATGATATGCCATGGTTAATACTGGAATGCCCAGAACGCGTCATTACGCTAGTTCAAGAGGACATGACCACCATCTCCTCCCATGTGGCAACGTTGCATGACATGTGTAGCTGCTACAGGTAGACACACAGGTTACTGCATTTTGATTTATACCACGCGTATCTACGTTTCACTATAGAGTTTTATGTCTTACCTTGATTGTTAAATCGGTAAATGTCCAATCTACTATCATGCCGATATTCACATTTTAGATGCATTATCTCGACAGCAATTCCAGCCATATTTGCGTTGCGTTTTGATTGCAACATGGTATTATTTTTAACCTTTTCTTCGGAACCACTCATGGTATTTCGACCTATGGTGACTCTGGTTGTTTGAAAAGCTTACGGATACCACGAAATATTTAGCCATGTAATCGTTTTCATAATAATATGTTCTTATCTAAATATATACCGTGTTCTTGTTACTTAACATATTATTAGTATTAGTGATCACTACTTACTTATGTTTATACAATTGTATGATTATAATAATGCTGTTTAAATTTGTAATGCGGTTGTTCTACACTATAGGATTCTGAAGTCTTGCAAACTACAATATTGTGAAAACTAAATCTCCAAAAGGAATATTAGTTCGGTTCATGCGCAACATGTACGGGGTGTGGCCAAAAACGGCATATTTTCACTTGGGTAAAAACGGCCAAAACTTAATCATTGTGTTAATAATACATAAAAATTGTTGACATATTTTGACGGGCCTCTTATTAATCTGGGGCCGGTTGTTCAAAACTAAGTTATTTTAACGATCCGTTAAACTCTAACGGGTCGTTATCTTGCTAACGTGTCGTTTGTTAACGACCGGTTTAATTTCTATTGCTGGAAAGTCATTATCCGTTAGCCAACGGACTGATTAAAGTTAATCCAAGAAAAGACTGTTCATTGGCTGAATTTTAAATTTTTAAATTCAATGTACATGTATAACAACTTCATTGAAGTTAGTATTAACAAAAAACTGAAGACAAATGAAATGAAATGGGGTTTAACGTCCTACTGTACTGTTCCTATGCTGGGCTAATGAAGACGGACATACGCCATACAGTGTGCGATGAGGGAAATTTTGCCCGGGCAGCGGCACTATCGCCTACTCTTATATCGAATTTGAACTGCCAAGGGAACTTTTACGTGCATTCCAATGTATACCCCGGACCTCGGTTTTTCGTCTCATCCCAAGGACTAGACAGCTGTCCTTGTCAGGCCCTCCGTCATGCATCACTGACAAGTGGGAACCACGCCGGAATATCTGGATGAACTTTCTCGGCCAATGCAGGGATCGAACACCCGACCTCAAGGCTAGCGAGCCACCGTCTTACCCACTTAGCCACGTGATCCCCTAAAAACTGAAGACAGTGCGTCAACTGTTCAGTCTGTTCACAAAACTTGATTAAAGACAGAAAGATAACCGTAGAATTTACTAGATAAAACACTATAAAAAAAAAACCTATAGAAAAGTTTATTTTATCCTTTAGAAATTTTAGCATAAGACCGTAGAAAAAAAATATTGGATTTGTACTACATAAACAGAAGACTATTTGGGGCCATTATTTCCCACTGACCCCCCAAATTCTGTAGAATACTATAGAATTTCATCCTATAGAAAATCGCCTACACCTCTAGAATGTTCTATAGAATATTACATTGGTAATCTATGACTTTTTGCTAAGGGTATACTTCGACTGACAGCCGACGAATGTCATCGTTGAACAGATAACGGAGTCCAACACATCCGTTAGATATAACGGCAAGTTAACGATATGTGAAAGTTAACAATCCATTAACTTCGTTATAAGTTTACGGAGCTTTGAACAACCGGTCCCTGGTAGATTATCTACCGTTGTTATTTTGATTTTGTTTTCTTAATTAAATGTTAAATAATCAGTGTTAGTACATCTTAAAGGTGTGTGTGTGTGGGGGGGGGGGGTAAGTCGTACAAATGAGATATTGTGCGAAAAATGCTTAATATAATGATTTATATGTGTTAGTTTTCTACATATCCGGAAATAGTCAACTGATGTGAACAACCTATGGCCATTATTATTAAAATGTTTAACATAATGTAAGCTGTATCCTACATACTAATTTAAATGAGAAAGAATCACGCATCTGACGTAGCCTAATCCTTACAAGATGTACAAGTCATATGAATAATGGTTGTATTATTAATATCGGTACACTAATGACCAATTCGTCTTTCCGTATGACATATTTAAAGGCGGTCAGTACTTAAGTAACTTGTAATCAAAACCATGGTCGTTAATTTGGATGTTGAACAGTACGGTCAGTGGTGGCCTAGTGTTTCAATTTATATTACTTTGGAATCTGGCAATAACTTTATTATAATGATTCCAATAAATTTTAAAATAGCAATATCAAAACCCATAACTTTACTGATACCAATAATAATGGTGATAGTAATAAACTTATAGTAAACTGAACCAATAAACGTTACCATAGTGATACTAATACACTTTACCGATACCAATAAATTTTACTGATACCAATAACTTTACTATATATGCTGATACCAATAACTATAGTGAACCAATATATGTTACGATAAATACCAATAACTCTAGTGAACCAATACACTTTACGATAAATACCAATAACTATAGTGAACCAATATACTTTACGATCAATGATACCAATAACTTTAGTGAACCAATAAACGTTACGGCCAATACCAATAACTATAGTGAACCAATAAACGTCACGGCCAATACCAATTACTATAGTTAACTAATAAACGTTACGCGCCAATACCAATTACTATAGTTAACCAACGCTTATACAATACGAACACAGATACACTATTTTTAACATTGCATTAAAGGTTGATTTAATTAAAACACCGCCTTTATAACAATGAAAATTGAGAAGGGTGGTAACACTAATATATATAGTAGAATATATTAATACTGAAATATAATATCTATTTATAGATAACTGTCACGATTCGCCAGGTCTACATGTAACAATGTCAAATTTCTAGTTAAAATGATAAAATATCGCGTAATGAGGAAAAAAAAACCTTCTCGGTTGAACATAAATCAGTTAATGTTAGTATGCCACTTAAGACAAATTTCACCTTTGTGCTTCGTGTTAGGCTCGAGGAATGACGTAAGTACCAGGATTTATTTCTCTCAAATTTCTGCCTTTTCGAAGATTTAGTCTTCCAATAACAAGGTGCCGCTGGCCTAGTAACCAGTAGGTCTCATGGTCCTCGGAATGTTTTAAAACGTGGTTTCCCCTTGTCAGTCGGGCAAGGACGGAGGGGTCTAGCAGGAAACGGTGTGCTCGTAAAATAACCATTGACAGCTGGAATTTGAAGAAGAGTAGGCGGAAACGCCCGTATCCGAATAAAATTCCTTTCATAATACACTGCCCGTCTTCATTAATCCAGAAGCCGGTGGTTCAGAAAGTAGAGCGCTAATCTCCATATTTCATATCGAATAATTAATTATATGTTGAGAATATTAGTGTCAATCCTATCCTCAGCGACTTTTGTATATTTTTCTATGGCTGTACATAGAATGAGGTTTATGGGCAGATCAGAATGGAATTTAATACCGGAAAATTATGTGGGCTAATTTAATACTGAACAAGAATGAAATTTAACTTTGAAAAGAAAGTTATTTAATACGGAAAAGAATGCTATTTAAAGGGACAATAACACTCTTGCTGGCTTGACAGCTCCAGAAAATAAAAAAATAGCCTTATTCTAAGTACTAGATGTGTTAGTGTCCTACTTGTTGTGTATATTATCCATTAAATCCTATTTTACTTGTCCAGAGGGTTCAAAAATATTTTTAAATCCAAGTCACATTTGAAAAGCTTTACGTCAGGCTTTTCAAATCATTTAGTTGAATTTTTCCAGTTTTTTAAATTAGGTGTGTTAAGATGAAATTTGTATCATCAATTAATTGGAATATTTTAAAATAGTGCAATTTGTTGACCAGAATAAAGATTGGGACATATTATTCAGTTACAACAAGAGTGGTATTGAGCCTTTAATATGAATTGAAATGGGACTTAACGTTCTATTTTTCTGCATCAAACTAGCTAATGAAGAAAGACATGTGGTATGCAGTTAATTGAACGCAATTTGGTCAGAATATCGGCTTATTGGTAAACCTTGTTTTTGTCTTCTCCGATCGACTCGATGCCTTTTCTTTGTAATTTCTAATGTTCGATGAAATATACGAACAATCCATACTGTTTAATACTTATGACTGATTAGTTGATTGATTTTCTGTCGCCTGGAATGTCGTCATTTTGTAATCATCATTTATCTCCATGACAAACAATACAATGTAAAAACATACGCATGGTAAACGTATTTTCATTATCTATTATTGAACTATTATAGCAAGAACGGTCACCTCTATTTCTAATTCTTACATAATGCACCTTTAAAAGTATTTTATGAATTGTAGATAAATCAACATGTTTTGTCTGTATTGGATAATGTTGTTGAGTGTAGTAGAGGAGGTATGGGGTCGAGCGCGACTAGTGGAGCCACCAATGAGATCAAGTTTATGGCGGGAAGGTATCAGCAATGTTCATATTAACTATGATGATAATCATGTTAACTGTGGTGGCTTTGACGTAAGTAAATTGAATCCGGCTCTGTGTTTTTACAATGGAAGCCGGTAAGTACAGTCTCGTCCCGTCATGCCTTCGAGTTGACTAAGTGCGAAGCCATAGATAATACCGTATGATTGCCGACTCATGAATTCTCGACGTTATGTTGCGAAACGCGTGAAACGGCGAGAAAGGTGGTTGATCACTTCCGGTCTTCTGTTCTCGCTGTTTGTTTACTATAGGCCCAGTAGCGATATTTTTATTTAGCGCTTTCTTGTAGTATTAAATGTGGCATCATCTGGTTAAATGGTAACGAGAAATAGAAGCAATGTTCGAGGTAAGAATAAAAATGAATATCTTATAATTTTGATATTATATTGTATTATAAATAAGTATTACATTTCATGAAAATCTCGACACGTGTGTTGTCCAGTTAAGGCAAAGTTTGACAGCTTTGACCTACTTTTAAAAATCGGCAAAATAGAGTTTTCAATTCATTAATTTGTAAAATAATACTTGCAGATCATTAATAAATCGTAAATATATAAAATACAGTTTGGTATGAATAATAACATTGCTGTGTTGGCTATATATAAGCTTTTAATTACACAATTTTTTAAAAATCTTTTGTATTTTCAGCAGAACGTACTGGTACCCGTCTTTTGTTTGCTACCTAGGGGCCTAGGGGAGTGCCAGCTTGTGAAGCAAATATATTTCATGTTGATTTATTGTGATACTGATAAATATTTGTATGTTTTATTTATGTTATTTACTTCTTTTCATATTGTGTGTGTGTGTGTGTGTGGGTGGGGGGGGGAGGGGGTATAAATATTGAGACACTAGACATTAATATATTGATAAAGTATTTTATTTTATGTATCTATTTATTTATAATTTTTTTTTTTTATTTCATTTTTTGGGGGGGGGGGGGGAGGGGGGATATTATTATTTTCATTATTTTATTTGTTTTATTTTAATACTCAACAAGGGATTTGGTTTAAATTGTTTGATTGTATTATATCATTATTGATTTTAATTTTGTATAGTTGAATTAAGCATAATTATTTAATTTTATGTATTTCAAACATCAGAAAATAAACCATTCAAGCTATGTGTAATGTGTTTGTATGGTTATGTTGATGGTTAAATAGGTTGAGAATTGAAGCCAAATGACCAATTTTCGCGAAAAAGGGATCTGCCACTTGGTGTTACAGAATTCAGTCAATTTTGCTCCGATATTGATAAGGTTGGTTTTGTTACAATGCTGAGATGTATGGCTTTTCAGGAAATAACTGCCGGTCGATATTTAAGGATATGGGTTTACTGTTCCATGTAATTAAATTAATCATTAAAAATATAACCTACAATTTTTGTTTCAATTAAATAAGTTAATCTTTACAATACTATTAGGCTATTGCATTTTTTGATTTAAATAATTTAATCTTATCAGTTGAGGAAGAAAGAGTTGGTATTTCAATCTAATAAGGTGCCTATAAATTATATAATTATTCATCCAATTATGTAACATTAACACTGTCTGATCGCTTTATTTAATAATACATTTATTAATTTATCATAAAAGTATTGTTAATTAAAGATGCGTTTTTAAATGTTAAACAGGCATGATGTAAGAGCTAAATCTGCTTATTGCAGGTCTTTCTTTGGGCCTTAATGTTATGTAAATTATCAATTAGACATTTATTAACATGAAAAGACCATAATCAACTCGCGATGCCATCTGATTGCTCAGATTTTAAATAGATTAGAACGGTATGGTGGTAAATTTTCAATATATTCAATTTGCATTATCTATTTTTGAAATGTTATAGTTAATAACGAGAACGACCAGCTCTTTATCTAAATCTTACATAATTCCCCTTCAAATTTATGTCTATTGTTATTGTTTTATTTTAATTTAGGACATAAAGAAATATATTTTGGTTCTCGCTTGGATGACGTGTTTTAATTTTTTTTTTTTTAAAAAAAACCCCTAACAAAACAGTCTTGTTAATTACCCCGGTTACACGAAGTAACTCTGTAAAAAAATTTGACTAGATCTATAGGCTAATTTGTCAAGTATGCAAACAAGTTAAATGTTAATGACATGAATGATATTGGATACCGTAATCATATATTCATATAAACAACATGATGAGATAAATGTAGTGCCTTACAATTTTTAAAAACTCATCTGTTACAAACAAGTGATAACTTAGAGCTAAAGACTTTGTGTAGGTATGTTTTGCCAAGCGCTATGAACACAATTTTTGCGGAATTTTGGCGCTATAGAAATGGACGTTCATTATATTTATTTATTTGGTTCTTCTGGAAAAATACATACATCTATTTAAACACCAAAAGTACTTGGCTGTACTGTTCAAAAGCTTATAGTTCCAAATTTTTAAACAAAACATCTTTCACATGATTTAATTAGCTATTTATTTTTATATCGAAGCCCGAAGAACAGGAAATCAAATTGGTGTGGCCAACATTGAAATATCAGATATCAAGGATGAAGTTGCCTTTATCAACTCTTGTAAATCTTTTAATGTACAGGATTCCTGGAAGAATCTATTTTAGAACACAAATTCCCTTTCATTGATAACTAAAGCAATAATTCCTTTTATATTTAATACTAATAGTGTTTTCTTTTTCCTTATATATAATTGTTATATCTACTGAAGCTAATTTAATTTCTCAACAAAGCCTAGATCAAAAAGACTATGAAATAATTGCTTACATTGGGGTGGATTTATATAAGTAAACTTTTTTCCAGTTGTGCAAGCTGAATAAAAAGTATGTGTGTATTTTATTTCTTTTTTTTTGGGGGGGGGGGGGTCTGCATTTATAAAATTAACTAAATTAAATGACAGAGCGTCAGAGGGACTTAAAATAATTAAATGGCCATTTTCTAAAATTATTAACTAGGCCTAGATTGGAAAAGAATTTTGGAGGGATATTTACATCTTTATCAACTAAAGTATACAAACAAAGCTGAATTTATTAAAAAAATGCACATTTGAATATAAACAAGATTTTTAAAACTGTTCCAATATACCATGCAATTGATAATAAAATGCAACATCTAATTTTATTAATCATACTATAGATAGGCCTATACCGTAGGCCTGTGTGTGGCACAGAGGTGCGGGTTAGTTAGCTCGCAATATAACCTTTTTCCTTCTGCAAATTAAATTGTAGAACATTTTTTTTGAAGTATTAGAAAAATAAAAATAAAGGTGTTTGAAGTATTATCTCTATATCAAAAATATTTCCTAATTTTAGTGTAAATTGGTACGGTACATGATTCATGAATGAAGAAAGGCATTTTTTGCCCATTTGTAACCTTTTTTCAACTTAACGTCACACAGTAGCTATTTCATCTTTTGCAATAATCTAAAAATATTTTGGAAGGAGATATCTTGTTCTTTTTTTTTCATATAATTTTTATATACGTGTTCATTTTATTAATTTCATAAACGTAAGTTTCAAAAATGTCAATTTCGCGTGTCACTGTGCGTACGTACTGTCGAAAGCTAGACCGGAAGTAAACAACCCCCCCCTGCGCAAAAAAATATGCGCACGAACCAGAACGCAACATCACGTAAAGGGCTAAAGACGAGTCGGCAATCATACGGTATTATCTATGGCGAAGCGAAGAGGCCGCGAAAGGCTACTTAACGGCTTCCATAGTTTATGCTTCTCGTATTCAGGTAATCTTGTGGCACACAGATCAGCAGTAAATATTCGCTAGGCCGCGACAATCACTGATAAGGATGACATCCATGCGACTTAATGAGCCAAAAATATTAACTTTTTTCCTCCGACAAATTAAGTTCTAAAACATTTTTTTTATGTACTAGAAAAATAGTTAAAGACGTTTGAAGTATTTGTAGGTAAAAATTATTACCTATTTTAGTGTAAATGGGTATTAAAATGAGTAAAAGGCGCCATTCTGCTCGAATCAGTAACGTCTTATGTAAACGATGCACGCGCCATTGAGCCAATGGTTGGACGCCGCGTGATATGACGTCATGTATTGAAGGCAGTCATCTTTTACAGAGAAGACTGTGAAACAGATTAATCTTGTGGCTGGCCGATTGATCTGACGCATGCGCTTACGGTCATAAAGTCTGTCAACGCGGTTGGCATAGAGTAAGGGTTGTCTACATAATCTTGTTGGTTTTTCCGATTTCTTTTTAGCATTAAGATGTCAGACCCATATATATGTACAAGAGAATTGTTGAAATAAAACTAAAAGACACCTGCAAATTATCATTTGTGGAAAACCGTTCAGATCCATGAAAATCAAATATAGACCCACCCTTCTTTTATAAATTACAGATCAACCACATCACTATCACGATGCACTAGCTAACTAACCATGGGCCTAGACGTAGTTCAAAGGAAATGAATTCGGGTTTAACGCCCGCTTTGCTGCACCAGGCTGAAAAATACAAGTTACAAAACACTAAAGGAACATTATTATAAATAATACACATTTTTGATTTACAAATTTAATTTTTTTATTTGGCTAAATACGTTTGAAAAATTAAACTTTTCATTACAGCATACTTGACATAAATTCAATTTACCTAAATTGTTTGTCTAACCTCCAATCCATAAGCCACAAACCTGATCTCGGTCATTTTGTCTCTTTATTAAAAATCGGTAATCACCAGAGAATAAAAAAGAAACGATTTATATAATTATACAATTTTCTCACTGCAGTAAAGCTTGTTTAAGAGGGTGTTACGATGGCTTAGTGAGTATAGCGCTTAGTCATCAATTTGCCCCGACAACTGTCAAACACCTAGTTTTTCGGATGTGATATAAAGTCTCGTATGTACACGTTGGGGTTCAAATAAAACAAGCCTTGCTAGTTGGAATTCGACGAAAGGTAAGCGGAAATATCTCTGTTCAGGCAGGGTTAAAGTATAGACGCCCAATCTTACTAGAAAAATGCTGGATTACTCTAAAAACACCCATGGGGCAAGCACTGGGCAAAAATGTCAGGGTATCATTAACTGGCAACCCGACGGCTTGTCTGACGGCTTATTATGTGCAAACTTGATTGAGGGAGCGGTTGTTATTTCTTTATCGAATGTTTAGGCTGTTTTGGGAACTTTGAGGGGTGAAAGTTTGGAAAGGTTGGGAAAAAGGTTGCGATATGTATGGTAAATGGACAGTAATGACAAATACATTCTGACAAATGGACCCTTTTTCAGTCAAGTTAGGTGACAAACATGGCTTCTAAAAACATACATTTTGTAACTAATACAAAGTTTTGAGAGGGATTTGAAGCAAATTTGTGATAGATTAATTAGTTTGAATATGTTTTTAGTCCAAATATATCACCAAATCACACAGTTTGTACGCGGGAAAGTATCTTTAATTAAAGTCCTGATACAAATGTTGTGTGCACCAAGAAAACCCTCTTGCAAATAAATGTGTAAATTGAACTGTCATAATTGACCCTTTGCGCCCAGGGTCAATTTGTGCTTGTTTTAAGTTCTGTCTGGCTAAAACTTCATACTATATGTAGCATGACATAAACGTGGGTAATTATTTCGTCATGATTTGTACCTAAAGGCATATTTCATATGACAAGAACTATAATAAAAAAAAAACATTATACAAAGATATTTATTACCGGTAAACGCTTTCACACGCCAAACTCATAAAACTAGTACATGTATATTAACATTGGTGATCTGAGGTTTTGTAGATGGGCTATTCATTTCTGAAGATAAACATCCCGCTCTTTGAATTAATTAAGACGCAATAAATCTAAAATAAAATAAAGGACATTAACTTAAGGTATTTTTTGAAGATACATTCAAAATAAATATATCCAGCATGTATTTATCCTATACCTTTAAAATAATTTCTACTTTTAAATGAACAAATATAACGACATTGCGCACGATTCTTTAATTTTTGCATTATATCCCGAATTTTCACTATTGATGAATTGATGATATTCACTTTTATAGCGATTGCAGGCTGGTCAATGATGTATTTTATAAGATAGGAAAATGGTTTGGCACAACAGATTGAAAAAAAAAGAACAGATTCTACATGTGCGTTTATAAAAGCTAAAACATAAATGAAAACAATTGCTCGCTGAAACTTAAAAAAAAACCCATCCCACACAGAAGTCTTGAAAACGTAACAAGGAGAATGTTTATTTTCACACACACGCACACATTTCACCAGTCGAACTATTCAGCATACTTAAAAAGAAAGAAGAAAGGACTGAAGTATCGACAACATAGCCCACTGTGGTCAAATTGATCAGAGGGTATATTATAGCGTTATATACACTTCAAAAAAAAAAAAAAAAGAACGCATAGCCCATATTTCATCATTTTTTTTATTTGAACGGGATCTTTGTTTCCATAAATGTTACTTGTTTTCAATGTCATTATGTAAGAATAAAAACAATGTCGGGCTTCTAATTGTGACTGGTCATATTGTTTGCCAATATTTGTTTTCGCTTGATTGCACCAAGACACATGAGTATAACAATTTCGCAAGGTTTTCGCATTAAACCGATATCTAAGGTCTTTAAAATCCCCGGGTTCTCGGTTTCAAAATCAGTTGCACATGTAAACACCAAACCAGTCAAGTGATACCACATCTAAATGAAGATCAAGGCAACAACGCTATTGGTCGGTTACAGGCAAATGAATCCCAGACAGATGTAGCCAGGCGCTTGAATTTTTCCCAGAGTACCAGCTCTCGCCTTTGGGATAGGTACCGACAGCGAAGTTCAACACGTAAACGCCTAAGCTCAGGTCAAACAAGAGTGACCCCACCTGCCCTGTATCGTCATTTCTCGCCTTTGGGATAGGTACACAGTGGTTTACTTATTTCGTCTAATTAGTAAAATAATATGTACCTAATCAGACCTAATAATTGTGTAGCAATAATATTTTCAGTAAACTGACAGTGAAAAACCCACAATCAGTCAGGAGGTAATTGGTAGTTGAAATATTGCTAGCCGGGTGTGGACAGTGTGGTTGACAAGGATTACACTGGGTGTGGGCGTAGCCTGCCTCTGTTTTCGTACGCCGTACAATCGCCATGCTTATTCTAAAAATTGAAAACAAGTATGGCGATTATGTAGTGCGGTAATTCATTTTATTTAATTATCTCTGTAGTTTTGTAATCGGAGTTCAGCTTTAATTATATCTTGTGTCAAAAGTTATTTTGACATAGAAAATAGATTGCTAAAATATTTAATTTTTAATGAAGTGGATATCTCGTTGCATAACTGTCAAATGTTGAAACCAATGCCCGGGGCCATAAATATGTCAAGCCAGTCTGAAAACAAAACTGTTGACGCCATTGTACTGTATAAATTGTCAAGATTAGTAAATTGATAAAGAAATTGTTTGCCCGGGTTGACTCCAAAATTTTAATAGGGCATTGAAAAACGTTTCCCGTTTTCTGGAGGTAGCACCCCTAGGGTTACAAACAACGTGTGCCGAATTTTTGAGATAGGACATTTAACCAAAGTCCAGTAGATCATACATAAGAATTAATGACATGGCGTTGAAATTCACTGTTCATGCGAAATTGTGGTCATTGTGGTCATGACAGAGTGAACCATGATTGATAATGCACCGTTCCACTGAACAACCTTAGAAACTATTAAGTTAAATATAGAACAAATAATAAGTTGACGTCAACCAATCCAAGTTCACAAGCATGACACCCGAAGTAAAATCCAAAGCTGAATTTTAACAAAGAACTCTATCCCAATGAACAAACAACTGACAGACGAATATTATTTATGTATCACCCAATTTCAAAGTGGCTTGACAGTTTAATATTGTGTGTTTCTTACATTAACAAAGTTTGACATTAATATCCTAGTTTAACATAATATTCTAACGACTTGATTCGGGGTCACAGTATCATCACTTACTCAAAGACTCATCATCTTATGTATATAATTGAAAGTATTATTTTCGGGAGAATATTAAACTGTCATAAAAAAATTACTATCTTCTAGAGGATGGGTTAACCTGTCCCGTGAAATAGGGTTATCGTCTCATATTTTGTCTTACTATTTTGCTCTGACTTTTCGTGAGGCCATAGTTTTCGCCATTATCATTATTGATTCTATTTCAGTACCAGTGGAAGACTGCACAGGGAAGTTGTGGTGCTTGTGGTGATCCACTGTATGGACCATACAAACACGTGTATCCTGGAAAACATGCCACAGGCATTGCATTGCGACACATTTCCAAAGGAGATGTGCTAAACGTAACCGTGTTTGTAGATATGAATCAGATGGGGTATTTTCAGTTTAATTTCTGTCCACAAACAGACCTTTACAGTTTTGTTGATCTTGGACTATGCTTTTCGAAAAATCCCTTGACTGTATGGGAGACAAATTCCTCCAGATATTATGTAGGTAGTGCTGGTGGTTTATTAAGCCTTCATCTGATACTTCCGGATGCATTACAATGTGAAAATTGTGTACTACAGTGGGTATACGTCACAGGTTAGTAACCCTCATCGTCGCCATAATATTTCTCATCAGAAGCAATAACTGATATGAAATGGGGTTTAACCTCATACTTTTCCGGTGGGGGTGAGGATCCTGCCCAGATATCGTCGCTACTGCCTACGGTTAATTCGAATTCCGAATGTCAAGGGACCCCGTTTTTTCGTTGCATTAGAACGACTCAGTACCGCCCTGCATTACCATCAAGTGGAATCCAAGCTGGAAAATCCCGCTGCATATTCTGGACCATGACCTGGATCGAAACTGGGATCCTCTGTGTAGCCATCCAGTCCCTTACTCACTGCGCCACCGTGTCTTCCAGTAACATCACCACTGCCGGCATGTGCATATTAATTAACAAGATTCGTCCTCATCGTCATTATTTACGAATCAAGAATAAATAATTTTTGATGAGGCTGTATCAAATTACAACCTATGATATATATTTGAGAGACTGCCTTAGGCAACTGAACTCTTTAAAAGAATATCGTTGGTGGAATTCCGCTGTAGACCGTGAAGTCTTGTGGTCTCCACGCCCATTCCCCAGTTGTTCAGTATAGAGGGGCGTTGTGCAGTGCCGAGCCTGTAATGATACAGGCTTCACTCTAAATAAATAATAATAAAACAAATTTACAAGAAAGACGTAACAGAAGTAATGTGACCTATCTATCTGGGCTGTGATCGTCTCTTGAATGGCGATAGTCTGCCAGTTTATGTCATGAGTTAGAACACCAAACTTTAACAATAATTATAATGGCGGTAATCCCGGTAAAATCTCGGAAAACGCTTAAATCAATGAAATAATAGTGAGCAAATAGCTGGGCAAATCCCAACAACGAGAACATTCTGCAGTACGAAGGATGGGATGTGCACTTTGAAAATTGTACCTCAATGCAGAACATCCTTATTTCCCCTCTTTTTCATGTTATACGTAAACATAACCGCATTTTAGTCTCAAAATTACCGAAACGAGACGTAACATTCCATTCCTTTCTAAATATTTCATTGCAAATAACGATCTTCATTTCAGGTTACAGAACTGGTAACGATATACAGTCGTGCAGAGAATGTCTAGGGTGTGGACCACAGGAAACGTATATCAACTGTGCTGATTTTGCCGTCCACGCGACGTCTCCTCAAATTGCGGAGTCACCTACACTGGTTCTTAATCCCGGAGGGCTTCTTTCAGGAGGTCCATCTAATCCAACACCCCATACAGAAGCAATCGCTAATCCGGGAACAAATAGTTCTGCATTTCAATCAGAAACGGTGATAAATTCAACAGTCAACTCAACACTTGCTTTAGAACCACTACTACGACTGAAATCAATAGCTTCCATGACTCCGATTGTCTCACAAACGACAGAATCGAATTCCACAATTGAAACTCCTGTTACTACCAATTCAACAAGTCAGCAATTGGAATCATCAAATAAGACATCAAACACATATAATTATTCAGGCTCAGCAAATTCAGGTGTAACCGATAAACTGCCGTCTGTTCAAAAAAAGGAAAACACCAGCGCTCCACCTATACAGATAGAGTCACGGCTTACATCAGTGACCCCGCCTTCTGAAACAAAACCGACAGGAACATCTCGTGGTACACCAGAAAGCATAAATTCGACATCCGGACTGATAGTAAAATCCAGTTTGGCGACCCCTGCCTCCAAACAGTCAGGTATGTCACCTGAAATCAGTAAGAAGGAAAATAGTGTGACTCGTCCTGTTTTAGAATCTTCCCCATCCTCCAATTATGTACACGCTGGTGTTGAGAAGAAGGCTTTGCTGTCATCGTTAGCTAGTCCTGTACCAACAAATGTAAATGCTCTAGAAAAAACACCTTCAGAAGTAGATAACAGGACTCCTTCGGGGAATGATACAGGTAACCAAATTTTGACCTTACGATAGTTTGATATGGCTAGGCCTCTTTGATTTCAGTACAAAAATAAAATGGTAAATGAAATGAAATGAAATGGGGTTTAACGTCCTACTGTTCTGCTCCTATACTGGGCTAATGAAGACGGGCATACGCCATACAGTGTGCTATGAGGGAAATTTTGCCCGGGCAGCGGCACTATCGCCTACTCTTATATCGTCCAAATGCCAGGGGATCTTTTACGTGCATTCCAATATATACACGGGACCTCGTTTTTTTCGTCCCATCCGAACGACTATAAAGCTGTCCTTGTCAGGCCCTCCGTCCTGCATCACTGACAAGGGGGAACCACGTTGGAAAATCTGGTTGAACTTTCTCGGCCAATGCAGGGATCGAACACCCGACCTCCAGGCTAACGAGCCAGCGTCTTACCCACTTAGCCACGTGATCCCCTAATAAAATGGTGGACTTCATTGAAATTGTTTAATGAGATGCGTTGAAAATATAAAACAGATTTTGTGTTAGGCTATTGAGGCTGAGAAACAAAGATAAAATAAACTACCTACTCTTAATATTTTGAAACAAACATATAATAACGTAAATCTTGCTCCATCACTGGTGGAAATAACATTATCAACTCAATTTTAACTAAATCAAAAAGGTTTAGTTCCTGATATTAATCTTGTAACAAATATCTTTTATATTCTTTCGGATTTCGTATGATATATTGAAGTTATCGTGTGTAGGTACGCCAATCGCGACACCCACGTGTCTTTATCGTTCATTGTAGCCATAAGTAGTGTTGTAATGTTTGTGTAATGATGACTTCTCCTTCCATTTGACCTGGCGTGATTCGTCAAATGCGAGCGAGCCGAACGTAAGGTGTGTGCGCATTTGATTACGAAAACATACCGACTAGTGTGATGTTCTACTCAATCATTATACGGTTTTCATAACTTTTGTTACACATTATTATTTTTTTTTCTTTTTCAACAGGTGGAACGACAGTGAGTTCGAATTCTCAACATGGGTCTGCTGTTTTAAACGAGCATGCTAATGTACCCGGTTTTAGTGCCATCAATATCGATGTGCATAAAGAAGTGTGCCAAGCAAATTCAACAAGCCTAGTTTGTGAGCCACCAGAGCGTTCCGTGTGGTGCAGAAATAATTGCAGGACTAACAGAGAATGTCCAAAGGTAGACTGCAGGTGTGCGTGTGTGTTCGGGGACGGTCGAAAATATCCCATTGCTCCCAACCCTGTTACGATCGTTGTGAGATCTACAACCTTAACGAAAAAAGATATGGTGCCCAAAGTGCCTTGTTATAAACCGAAGCCCCACTGGCTCATGATAACCGGGATTCGTTCGTATTGTAGTGACCATTGTCCAGGAACAGCATGTAGTATATACTGTAGACGTTCTTTGTGTTAAACAGATCTGAACTGAAGTGATCATGTTGTGGTCGGTGAACAGTCAATTGCTAAAAAAATCAGAATCTCTATGATACATGCATATCATTAAAGATATATACTATGCCGTTTTAAACTGTATGTAATGTTTGGATAAAGAGGCATTGTCATAAATGTACATATAATTGATTGGCAGAATCACTGACCTACTATATTTCACAAGAGTTTTATATAATCCCTGAAGACCTCTCAAAATTTATACAACGAATAAACTGAAAGATTATTCCAGACCAGGCAACTAAATCTAAAATCTAAAATTTACTTTGAACATTTCCGATGTATCTGTATTGAAGTCAAAACCAATGAGCTAACGCCTCTTTAATCTTTAAATGTAATCTTAGAAATGGGACACTTAACTCTGCAATATATAATGGACAATATGACTTTATATTTTCATTATTACAACATATTGTTCCAATTGTCTATCCTGAAATAAAAACAATAACCGTTTTCAAATGATTTAGGTTAAATGACTTCAGAAGAAAATATATCAAGTTATCATACTATTAAGTGGCACCGCGAGCAATGTGTGTGTGAGAGGACAAATTCAATTCAAGACTCTTCTCTGTTTCACTTTTTATATACATTTTTTTTTCTGACGAAGACCATTTGCCCGAAATGTGATTTCAAATTTCTCAGAAAAGTCTGGGAGCTAGAAAGATTCGCTCAGGGCGCATTTATAAAGCTTAGAACGGTTATGATAATTTGTGAATATAGAACCAATCTTCTAGTTGAGTATGAATTGTTAATTAGACATTAATTAACTTATCCAGATCATAATCAACTCTCGATGCCATCGCTAGCCTGTGATGTTTACTGGAATTGAATACATTTTGTGATAAATGGATTTGAATACATTTTGTGATGGATGATTTAACGTCAAAATGAATAATCTGGACTTTGTTTTTTATAGTACCTACTTTAGTAATGATGATCGAGGCTAGGCCTAAAATTCAATTTGACTGAAATTTTCAGCACATTCTCTTTACGTTATCTATCTTTTAACTATTATAGCGAAAACTGTCAGTACTTTATCGAATCTCCCATAATGCTCCTTTAACCCGATAGTAATATGAGTGTATTTTAACTGTAAAACAAGTTCGTTAATCCATGATGTATGTATTTAGTGGGGGTAATAAATATTTGGTTTGACTTTACACAAACACACCGCCATACTAGCAAGTCCCTATATAGCTGCAATAGGAACGGTCAGCAGACTGTACTTGCTTGTACTTATATGTTGGTAGGAGAAGTGGGCAGTTACCCACCCCCACTCGCTGCTTTCCCTTCATCCCTTTATTTCTATCAGATACGGATCTTTTGATATTTTGATATGCTGGATATCATCTTTTATGGTTGTTAAAGGTTGCTTAGTTGAATTCTTTAAAGAAAACGCTTTATATCGAGTTGAATCTATATCATCACCAGTATGACCATACAAATCACAAATAAATTGTTACAAATGTTTAATAAGCTAATCACCAATGTGCCAACCTGAGAGGCTAAACAAAACCCCACACGATATGGGTACACATGGTTTCTTGAATCATTAATTAGTATCAGTACATTTGCTTGCAATCTGTTTGGTCAAAACTCTGACGTCATGGCCGACGGATGACTTTTAGCACCTCTTCACAAACATTTGATATTCAATACGTATTACGCTTGACAAAAAATAGTTCGATTTTATTAAACTAATTTTTCTTTAGTGCGAAAGAATGGTAAATGTGGAAACGAATTTGCACCACAGAACAATGATTCGACATTTGACCGTTGACCGTATGATGTCTTTATCTACTATGTTCATATTGACGCCTGGTTTGAATCCATTGAATAAATAACATTCCCAAAAATGTACTCAAGTTTGGAAATAGAGGCATCCCGGCGATTGTTAAATTGCAATATGTTAGGGTTCCCCATGTGCCGAAAATTTTCCCTACTAAAAGTAGTACTCGACACGGTGTATGTGCACGCTTCGGTGGCCCGAAGTGATTTCTGCCTAGTCACGCACTCTGTTTGAGTCTATAAATAGCCATCGCACGTGAAATTCTCAACACATCTATCAACTATTACATCCGTACAAAATCTATTGTTGACGATTCTGAATAGCAGTAATATTTAGCTTTTTGTTTGGTTATTACAGCAGCTTTAAAAATTACGTTCGTTTTATTTTTTTAAATTGCTTTATCATTAACTATACTGTTAGGAACGGCATCTTTTGGTTTAGTACAAATAATATCTCTGAAAAACTCGGGTAAGACACGAACATGATACTAGCAGTAGTTTCATTTAACTTTTATAAGGTTCTTAAACATTTTGTTGAGTTGCCTATACCGTGCGTGTTTCTACAATCAATTTCTTGTTCCAGCTTTCTCTCATGTTGCGTAAAAAAGTAATCTTGATTATCCCGGCCTGTCAATCATACGGAGAATATTCGGTAGACTGGTTAAGCGAGACTAATTTCAAAACAAGGGCACGTAACCAAGTTTTTGCTCAAAAGTGCCTGGATATTATGGACGAGACTCGGAACTATTTTTCAGGCTATTACTTATCGACGATTAAATGGTCATAGCTTATTAAAAGTACAACATGGCCGTTTATTTAGTGACTATAAATGTGCCCAACAGATTTAAGGATTGGTATATATATATATATAAATATTGTGGTGTAATTGTCGAGCTATTTGGAGATATTTATTTATGGTGGGACACCCTAAATATCTACAGTGCCGGACTGGGCCCACCCGTCCGCCTGTCCGTGACAGGTGGGCCTAAGCTCATTAAAAATAAGTGGGCCTAAACCTATAACGAAAAAATAAAAAAGAAAAGAGGCAGAAAAAAGAAAAAAAGGAAAAAAAAGAAAGAAGGAAGGAGAGGACAGGACACAGGACAGGAGAAAGAAAAGATAGGAAAAAAATGACTGACAAACAACACAAAAAAGAAGTGTACTACAAAGAAAAAACTTTATGAGTTTGACCTCATTATACCGAGAACCGTGTAATTCATCTTTTGTTTTTGACAGTGAAGAGAATTCTCAAATTCATTTAATGATAGCCTCTGTAAGGTTCGGTTACGTGCAATCCTGTTCATTCGGATAAACACATATTCGTTTCAATGTTTTCATCTTATAAATCACCAAAAATTCGAGATCTCACTAAAAATTCAAGTTTTATTATCTTTGGGCATCTTTCAACAATAAGCATAACATCTTTCAAACAATAAACATAACGTCTTTCTACAATAAGCATAACATCTTTCAACATCTTAACGAGTGAATCAGTAAATGAGTAAGTGAGTGAGTGAATGAGGTAGTGAGATTCGCTGCAAAATATAACAATTAAAAACAATTAAGTATTATAAATTACAAGGATTTTCATATATTATTAATAGTAGTTATCTCCCTTGAAAACAATGTTTTGTCTTGCATTCCACAACAAGAGGGACCTGCCGGGGTCAGAGGTTAAATAACTGAGATTAGATAGCCGAGATTAAATAGCTGAACTTTCCAACAACTTGTTATTTTACAGTTTTTCTACAAAACTTTACCTTAATTCTAAAAAAGAATGGTCTACATAATAAACAGTCAAAAACTCACATTTAATTGGTGACTTTTCTGAACTTAAAACATATTCATATTCATCTTTTTCAACAATTTTCAACAAAGGCTTTCAACAGTGCTGGTGCCTTGATTTCCACAAAAAATTCAACATGGCTATGTTGCTAAGCAACCTGACAGAGCTTCGGTTCTAGCCCACCAACACATTAATTACTACTTTGTTACATTGCTCAAAATAAAAAAGTGGTCATCATGCATAATGGAGACAACAGCCTCTTAGGTCATTTTGTTATCTAATTGTATCAGGAAGTCAAAAATTTTTCTTCTTCTGCTTTGGTCTGAAATGCTTGAAAAATGGGTTTGCGGTTGTCAATTTTCAAAATTTTAGTGTTAGTGTTAGTTTCGGTTAACAAAATGAGACAAGTATTATCAGATTATAAGCAGAGTACGGTTCGTTGATCACAGCCAATAAAACACTGGCATATATATTATGTAACAGTCTTGGTTGGGCAAAAAAACTTAATTTTACTGGGGGGGGGGGGCGGGAACGTACTTGTGTGGGCCTTGGTCAATGACCTGACAGGTGGGCCTTTGGCCCACCAGTCCGGCATTGAATATCTAAGATTCAGATAGATCGCCCCTCATTCTTGCTATAAACAAAAGATAATCAAAAATGAATATATTGGAAATTTCAGTCACATTACTTTATTGTGGCCGACGTTAATGTTAATTGAGGGTTTGACACGATTATTTATTTCACCGTTAAATTATTAAGTGGCGATTGTGTTCTTATTCATTAAATACCACCACCATCCGATGATCTAGAAAGTTGATTATGGGCTTGTCATGTGAATATATGCCAATGTAATAATTCGAAGCCAACGCATTTAGGTCCCGTACTGTAGAAATTCTTATCAAAGTCTGAAGGTCAAAGGATCAAAATTGTAGAAGGATAAACAGCTGATCGATGACCTGGCCGAGATAGGTCCAGATGGACATGACAAACGTCATTATGAATAGATCTCTGTCTGAAATAAAACGTCTTAAGTCATCATTTGAGATAGTGGCTTAACATATGGCACGACTTTCTATGTCGGAAATACGTGATTTATTTAACCATATACCTCTAAGGCTCTAAGTTACTATTTGTGTACGGAAAAAGCAACATAAACTGCGCAAAAAAAAAACCCTTTGTAGTTTTGCTGAACAGTGCCCCTTTCAGCCTATTATACTCCCACCCGCACACATACACCATGACCTCGCTACGGCTAAAAAAACCTGCCAGATCGTGGATGAGAGCGACATGGACATGACGAGGTCTTGATCAGCGTAGTAAGAGCGTGGTGGGGTCGGCTACTACTTCACAACGCGGGTTTGGGACATGCGCCCTATACGCATAGCGAAGTCATGTTTAAAAGAAGCGTAGCGACAGCAAAGTGAGAGCTGGGGCAGCATACCGAGAGCGGGGAGAATCTTAGCGAAGTCGTGGTTTTTGAAAGCTGTTTGCGTTAACTCTCCTGAGTTGGATCTGATGAATGAGGGTTAGTACGCCAAAAATCCATTAGACGAGCTGAGGTAGCAAGGATGTGATCGTCGTGTCAGTGTGGTGTGGTCTTCTAGTTTGTGGCAGCAACGTAGTTGAGCACGGTGGGGAAGTAGCCGTGTGTCGTGCAAGCGTGGAGGGTTTGTGACTAGAACGTGGTATACCACTTGGGATGAGAACTCCCCGCATTTCACCACGACCCCACCACACTCTATAGAATTGTGGCTCATAGCTAGTAAGAGGAATAAGATGATATGAACATACGACAATGCTTGATTGTCCCATTCGCCTTTCATAATATACAGGATACTTGTCAGGGATGGCTCTGTTTGTGTGATTAGGACACAAAACACACCACTTGTCAGTGCTGGCGCCTGAAGGCCTGGCAAGAAAAAGGACCATGATTAAAGTGATAACGTCTGTATACTATGTTCCTTTTGAATTACATGTGAGGGAAAATCACATGCTTTCTGTCGTTCTGAAATGTGTTGATCTGATGTGTCATTCCGATAGTGATGGGTCAATTCTATATAATTTTAGTCAGTAGTTGCAGTCAAAACTGTGCACGGTGCAAATATTTTGCCAACGTAGATATTGTTGGCCTTCGTGGAACTATTTATTTGACAAACAGGAAGTGTTTTACGAATGGGACAGGAAAAATCTCAGATCGTCCATATCTCGGTTATTTGCCAACGGGTCATCGTCGGGTTTTCATTTTTGGAATCTTTGGGCTCTGACTGTCGGTTTTTCGAAATTCGAAAGTTCTCTCGATTAGTTTTATCATCAAAGATATGCGAAAGTTTTCTTCAGCATTTTTCAGACATTCAAGATGAAGTAACTCCGTTAGTATTTGAGATATCAAGTTGAAACTTGGTAGAAATAAGAAACACTTTGATGCTTTCAAAATGGCATATTAAAAAATTTGGGGCGGTTTCCAGAAACTTCCAAAAATTACCGAGGCCTTCTGTTTTTTCACGAACAGGAATAGTTCTCTCCTTTTTTTTTTTAAAAAAAAGCCTAAAAATGACA